ACCATAAGTCGAGAAAATTGTCCTTTGGTAAGTCGTTTTAGATATATCATTTTAATGAGTTGTATTTTTATAGATTTCGTTATATATTTAGTTAGAAGATTCAAATGGAAACAACATATAGTATAAGTAAAAAATGAAAACAAAAGCTTTATATCTGAAATGAGATTTCGTAATAAAGTTCTTTCTTCAAAACTGAGCCAATCTGAACTTATGGAATGTGTATATGGAGCATACAGGTATATATGCCAAAAAAAAGGAACACTTATTTCCAAAAACAAAAAATGTATTCTTTATTGCTTTTAAGATTTGAATGGAGTCATTGTAATCAAGTTAATTTATATAAAGTTATTATACGCCTATCTGAACAAATATAGGTTCATAGAAAATATAGAAAATAATTTTGGTGCACAGCTTGTAATTCTAGTTTAAAAACACTGTAACGACTTCAATCTAAAATGTTTTAATTAAAACGAAGATACCTTAACTTGTAACTATTATTATTATTATTATTAAATGCCAGAAAACACTGGAACCCGTATAAAACTATACTGTTGCGAATAATATCGATCCTTTGTCCGAGATTTACTCGATCACAATTTAAGATTTACTATTCCATAATTTATATGGAGGCATAACAATGCCATGTAAGTGTCTTGAGATTTCGATGTCCATTTAACAAAAATGACAGATATCAATGGCGGAGAACTAACATTGATTTTGAGTGATAGCGCAGATTGCAATAAAGTAAGAGAAAATATATTACTTAATATTCTGAATATTTTCTCAGCAGATTTTTCTTCGTCTCATTTCGTGATGAGCTTGTTTGAAATTACACAAAACCACAAGACCCAATCATGATATATTTGCCATTCTCTTGGTTGGGTGATTAGCCATTTCATTACCTTCATGTACTGGGATTCATTTTAACGTGACAAAATTGAACTTTGAAAAAGATTTAGGCAATCATTTACAATTTTTGTGGTAATCATTAATGTCACCTGACTATCTGATAATTTGGAAATGTAGGTTCCTCTTACCTTTCTACAAAGACATTCCGTCACACATATTTCAGTAACATGTCTTTCTTCCTGAAAAATTGACGGGCAGACATTCGATGGAATTGGGTTTATAAACGTATTGTTTAAATTGCTCTGTGGCTAACAATTATATTCAGAAACATCTGGATATTGCCATATAAATGATGTGATCAAAAATTGTATTTCTAAATATCGTAAGTGAGCAACTATAGAAATCTACTAGCTATGTTGGATGAACTGAAGAGTTCTACTTCCATATTGTTTCGACAATTATAGATTCTAACCTAAATCTATATAGTTGTAAGTAGTTATAAGAAATAACCTAATTAAAAACGTTTCTAGCGAAATTAATGGATAGTCTTGGATAGTCATTAAATGAATAGAATAATAATTTAATTGAACAAATTTAATATTGTTTCTAAAAATCACTTAAATCCTTTTTTTATGTTAAAAAATTAAATTTATACTAATTAAATGTATATTCTTAGTACAACTAAGACCTATTTTATTTTTTAATATTGACTTATTTCCTATTAAATTAGCATAATATTTATATACGCAAATTTTTTTAATGTCTTTAATATAAGCAAAATATAAGTTTATTTTTTAAAATTTTTCAATAATTTTAATAAAATATAGTTTTAACTTTTTTGACTGTAAAAGTATTTTCAGCAAAAATTAAAAGTGATTTGATTTGAAAAAAAAATTGTTTATGTAGCTAATAAGAAGCAGCAAGTCATTACCACTATTCATCATATACATATATATACTCGTATATACTTCTATATTTATTACCTTCTAGAATATTTCTTTATAATCTCTTATAAAATAAATTAGGAAAAGAACATATACGAACGAGTACATCAACAACTATAAAAAGCGAAAGTATCTTGATTCGTTTTTTATTTATACGATTTTAGCTACATCACGTTTTCAATTTTGATTCTCACTCCATGGAAGACTTCATGATTGTTTGTACATTCATCAGCTTTTTGTGAAGTCTTTCTATTGTTTACACTACAAGTGGCAGCTACCGTAGCCGCGGGGGTCTTCACCAACATTCGGAATTCACTGAGAGCCTCACCGTCAACAATTTATTTACATATTTTTTATTAATGTTCTACACATTCTATACATTTTCATATACTTATGAGTGTTCATATTTTCAATGTTTTGTTCTTTTTTTTATTATTATTATTTAACATATAATGTTTTTCTTCAGATTTTTTTTTAAATTTAAATAAATTTTTTTGTTTTTTTTTTTTTTCATTTAAAAGCTAAAAACGTTCTTGCGGCATTACAAATGCGGTTTCGTGCGGCTTCTGTCGCGTGACACACTTTTGCAAAACTGTTAGTTTAGAGTTTGTTGTAGTTTATGGAACTGTAGAGCTGTAGAGCCGTGGAGCTGTGGAACTGTTGTTCGTAAAGTTTTTGTAGCATTGAATGCATAAATTGCTTAAAAAACTTAAACGACTGGCAATGGTTGTGAGAGGTTAAAGTAAGATATAAAATTGTCTAGTAATTGTTAAATAGTGAAAAACTGAGCGGAATTGTTAAGCCAAGTGATTGTCTAACTCGATTTCGAAACTGTATGTTCAGACCTTATTGTTATATCTAACCGAAAATTGGAGCACAAACTAATAATAATTAATTTAACTATATTATATACTAAAATAATATTAATAATATTTAAATATATCAACAATTATGACCGGCACACAGATGAGAACTGTTAAGTAAGACTCTTAAAAAAACAAAATGGAGTCGTAACCAGAATATCTGCAATTCATGATTAAATATTAAATAAATAAAGAGCATAATAAATAGTTCATATATTATAACTACCTAAACTTCTTTGACAGTTTAATTAAAGTAATAAAATTTTTATAATTCTCATGATGTTTAAAAATTTTTATATATTTTAAAGAGAAAATTCAATCAGTTGGTTTTAATAATTTTAATGTAAATAATTTACAAAAATGATCATGCAGGATATTCATTTTTAATGATGTTATTAAATGGTTTATAAGTTTTTATAAGTAATAAAATTTTTATAATTCTCATGATGTTTAAAAATTTTTATATTTTAAAGAGAAAATTCAATCAGTTGGTTTTAATAATTTTAATGTAAATAATTTACAAAAATGATCATGTAGGACATTCATTTTTAATGATGTTATTAAATGGTTTATAAGTTTTTGCTCATGGATAGTTAGTCAGAAAGTTGGAAATTAAAAACTTGGGAAAATATAAATCTAATATCGAAAATCCGAAAATTATATAAAATAGAATAAAATAAAAAATAATATGAATAGAATAATTTTAATAATGATAAATCACAAAAGAAGTAAAATTGTGAAAATCTTTTGAAAAATATATATTCACATTAGCTATGTCTTTGTCCAACTTTAAACTTGAAACATAAGAAACAGATATTTAGCTATGTTGAGGCATTTTGAATAAAAAATACCAGATAAAATGAGCATTTCGATATATAAGCTATAAACTTGAATTTTGGACTTAACTTCTACAACTATTATAAGTATAATTTGTTTTTTAAGTAGCTTATTTATTTTTTTATGGTAGAATTTATTGAGTAAAAATTTACCAACAAAATAATCGAAAGTAAGGAATTTAATGAATTTCAAACTCATAAAGGAAAATTATATATATATACACTTGACTGTTAACGATAATAACGACAATTCTCGTAAAAGTAAAATTAATTATTAATTTATTAATTAATTTATAATTAATAAATGAGGTTATAATGGTCGTTCTACAAATCCACATAAGCCTCTTGTTTCATTGTGTTACGGAGCAAAATTTTATGAATTTAAGATCATTTAGAATCATAAATTAAGTTAAGATGGTATTTCACATTACTCATATTTTATTATATTTATTAATAATATTTTGTATCGTATTATAATAAGTTGTTATAATTATTTTACAGTACTTATTTGTAGTATTTTATTATTATTGAGTAAGGGATCGTGCACTGCGACCTAAAAGGTCTATAGTATTTTATACTATTATTAATTATTATTAGTTATTTATCCATTTAAAAATAATAATATTTCTTTATTTTTCTTAATTATACATTTGCTATGTAAATATATTAATTTAATTTTTTAATTTATTATTTGTATTAATATATATTATTTATTTTTATTATATATTTGAATAAAATTCAATCTATTTCAAATAGCGAAAAGAAGTTGTAAAATAGAGAGGATGCAAAAACACAATTTAAATTAATTATTTCTTATTATTTTGAAAAATTAACGATAATACTGGAATATATGATTACAATTATAATTAGAAATATTATTTTATCTGTTCATATATTTTATAATTAATAGAAACATTTTTTAAGATTTATTTTTAATGAACAAAATAATAATAATAATGATAATAATAAAAAAACTTTAACTTCTTCTTAATAATGAAGAAGTTATGCAAGTAAATTTTATTAAATACTTATATTTTAATATAAAACGTGTTTAATATATAAACACATATATACAATATATGTATGTTTATATTCATACATTATTCATATAAATTTTATATTAATTCTTATGTTTTTGTTAATTAAATTTTTTAAAATATGCATTTTTATTATATGCATTGTTATTATTATTTTATTACGTTATTATTAATATCATTTTATGATTATGAAAATGCGCGTTTATATTAAATTATTTTTTAATTTCATTTATTTGTAAAAAGGCATTATTTTCTTTAAATTAAATGTTTGTGTGTTTGATTTTTTTTAGTTTTTGGTTTTTTTTTTAAATATAGTATTGAAATATTAACACAATATTTTCATTAAAAGTTATTAGAATTATTTATTATTTATTAGTATTTATTATTAATTACTAATTATTAATTATTGATTATTTACCGTTACCACAAAATTCTATAAAAATTTAGGTTTATAGATGAAGTGAAACTTACCATATTGATAGCAAAAAGTTTTAGAAATAGCAATGTTTAAATAATTCACGTATTCACCAGTTTTTTAAATGAAAAACTTTGTATAATTTTAGATTTTTTAAAATTATAAATGATTTTTTATTCGAAGTCAAATACCGTCCTATGCGAAATTCTTCGAAAATTCCAAACTCAATTCTGTATTAAGAAAAAAAATTATAATATAATTAAACAAAATAAAAAGAAAATTTAGAAAATTTTATTAAAATTTTAATTTAATAATAATATAATATAATTATTATTAAACAAATTGTTCAAAGATTAACTCAGTAAATTGCGTTTTAAGTTTCTCCTAATGTTTACACGATTTCTAACTTTTCCACCAATCACTACTATTAATTGTCTTTTATATCTTTTAGTATTTTATTTTTTATTTGAAAAGAAGAAAAAAATCATTTAAAATGTTTTAACAAGAAAACCACTTTTCACTTTCCAAACACTTTTGCTGCGTTTAATTTGCTTTTTACAATTTTGCTTATTAAAGTGCAAATTCAACTGAAACTCAACTGAAATTCAATAAAAACGAAAAGTGAAACTCTCTTTTAAGCACTTTACATATAATTTTCTGTTATTTTCTAATATAACTATTAAACTAGAATGTTTTTAAGAGCCACTTCAAACGTTTACGAAGTAGTTTCAGATACTTTTTCAACTATTTAGTGATTGTTTTAATAAAAAATGTGTCCTTGTCCAATTGTTTTCTTTGTGATTTTTTATAAGTTATCAAAGAAATTCATTTTATATTAGCACATATATTTTTTTATAATTTTTTAAATTTAATTTAATTATTATTATTTTTTGGACCGTCCACTAACCGCTGTTACGAACCCACTCGTTGGACTTGGTAAATGCTACTGATTCGTACGTACAACGCGTTGGACAAAACTAAAATGGTAACGCCAAATTACATATGGATTGAAGCGTATGAGTGCTTTTTACTATGCGCTTTGAGTGCTTTTCTTGTGGTTTCTTAGCAGCTTTACGGTGATTGCAGCTCAAAGATACTCAATTTTAAACATACTTTTATTTTATCTGTTAACTGCAGTTTTCGTTTTTATATGTTAATGTTTTTTGTAGTTTGTTCGTCGTTTTGAGCTCTTTTATTCAGTTTCGAACTGTTGTCGTCTCAAAAGACTTAAACAACGAACTACAGCAACATAATTTCTGTTGAGCTCAGCTCCATGTTTTCTTATCAACATTTGTTACCGCGCTTGGCAACTTTGCTACCAATGTCTATGTTGCTAAGAGATGTTGCTTGCTGTTTCTTCATATACTAAAATTCATAAGCTCTTATTATATATTTAATCCTTTAACTCCTAGGGGGAACATAGGGCCGCAAAAGTTCTTATTAACAATTTAAAAATTTTTTTGGTGAACAGATATTTGTGGCAGATTTTTGTTAAGTTAGTTTTTTGAGAATGAAATGTTTGTATCCAATTTTTTTATGTATACATACCATATATATTGTGCCGAAATTATCTTTACGTGTGAACACTGTTAAAAAACATGATAGATTATAATAAGGCAAGCTTAGTTATGAAGGTAGGTGAAGTGGAAAAAAACGAATCCTGCTCAATTAGCTAAAAAAAGTAGTTTCATACTAGTGAATAGAAGAATGGACATATTATAACTAGCCCTGCGCATTGAGAAAAAATGTATCTGGCTAATACTAAACTTGGAAATATCGACGAGTTTGTTAAAGAAGTCTTGACATAGACACAACAGATGCTTTGATGTCTTTTGTTTGCGCGCCAGTAGGCATGTACTACAAAAGATATGACATGGCAGATCGAGTCTTGCTTCACGTTGCAATATAGTCCAGTGTTTCGTTGGGACAACTATTAACCTAGATACTTCCGATTTGCTTCTGTGTATCAATTTGAAGTTTCTACATTTGGAGTTAACAGGCCATGTAGCACTTGCACCTGGCTGCTGAAGTATGAGCCCACTTCTTATATGTCTGTTACTATTTAAGGAAGACACAAAAACATCTCCAAATATTTTTAAAGAATAACTATCTCCTATTCATTTTTATTATTATCCTATTCGTTTTCAAAAAAAATTTGATCCGCGAATCAGAGTGATCAAATATTGGTATAGGAGAGATTCAGTTTTCTGGATATAGCAGTTGTGAAAGACGTCCTTCAGTGAGTTTAGAAAAGTTAAGATACAACAGTCCAACAATGGATAAAGTGTCATGGATAGTTAATGTTCGAGCCCACATAACAACTATAACTATTGTCTGGGCTTATTGTATTGGTGTTAAATTGGGAGAAATGATAGCGCAGCGAAGTTCAAGAGAAGAGTCGTATAGTTGGTAAGGCATCAGTGGATAAGTGACAAGAAATTCTCTACGATATAAGTAATTTTAATCTTGTTATTAACTAAAAAATACAGAAATGCTTGATGATAATCAAAAACACTTAAAAGTACATAAAATTTGTACTTCGATTTATTTTTATATTAGTATCATTTTTAATCCAAAAATAATGCAGTACATGATGTAAATAACAGCTTACAATAAATATCATATATTGAAAAATAAACTGTACTTATCAAAGAGAAATTTAGAACCTGCAGAGAATATTAAAAATAAACACTTCTTGTGTAAATGTTCAGGACTTCTAAGTTTAAGATATTTTTCCTTTTCGGAAGTCAACGAATTAATGAGTTTAATGAATATACCAAATAAAGATTTTCAAAAAATTATCCTGAATCTACGTGAATTGGTTTTCTATATTATTTCCTGAAAAGATAGAGTTCGGAGTGTTTAATGTGAATACCTGCAGTGAAGGTTTAGCACCACAGTGTTCTTAACACACGTATCAAGACGATGCGCCGATAAACGCTACATTGATATTCCAAGGCATTTCTACTGGTAGAAGTTGAAGTTATGTATTTGGATATAACTTTTCCCTTGGTAAGGAGCGAGGCCTAACTAACACATCTGTTGATCTTTGGATCGCAGTACAAAATTAAATAATGTAACGCCACATCAAATTAAAGTAAATAAATGCAAACATTCTACCCGCGTAAGTTTGGGTTTTAACTACAGTCACTTTTATTGGCTAGCTTAGCCAAAGGTGGGGGCTCTGACCCCCATGTTACCAGATTTATACTTCCAGTCAGGTGCCGCAATTGAAAACACACTCACTACATTTTACACTTCAAACAGTATCGGATGGTGCGACTGGAGTTTAGTCACAGCTTACTACATGCAAGGCTTACCTCAGGAATATTTTAACCCATTTCCGGCAGGAGTTTGCTAAGATAGAATTGAAATTTCGTTTTAGGATGCGTGACAATAAAACGGAGACTTTTTGTTTTATGTACAATAAAAGAAGGTTTATAAGAAATTATACAATAAATTATATGAAATTATTTGATGAGGTTATACTTGCTATAGTTTACAGTCTCAATGTGGGTCTAGAAATGTCGTTTATGGATATCTTTAGCCTTATTATGTTGAAACATAATAAATAATACATTTATCTATTAATTAAAACATCTTACACCTAAACATTTAATACATTTTATTAGCTTATAAATGCCGTAATAAATTATGGAACAATTATTAGCATTGTTATGTCTACTCCACATTGGTGGTACTTCATACTTTTTCACTTTATTAACTCTATTTTACATATAAACCATATTTAAATACACAATATAACCTATAATTATACACGAAATTCGGCAATCCAATATAAAATATAAAATACAAACCTAAAACTTATAAACATAATACTCGTATTAATGAACTGAGCTACATAATCAGCGAATCAGCGTTAAGGAAATAAAAGAAAGCTGCATAAAAACTCTAATTTACATTTTAAAAAACATAAAATAATATTTATAAAACTGAACAAAACGAACTTGAAAGTGTTTCATAAGTTCCATCCGAAATGAAAAAATACTGAACTTTTTCCATAAATTATGCACCAATGACCAGCAATGACCACCAACAAAACAATACAACTTCAGTTTATTAAATTTGACAGATACATTTACCCTGCAGTTAATTCACAATTTATGTTGTGTGATTACACAGAGAGTAGATACATCATTTCGTGCATTTTTGCGCTGATGTGTATGCACATAAATACCGAAGTATCTGGAAACATACTGAACAATGTTTAATTTGTTCGAGTTTTGGCAACAACGCCAAAAGCTGCACTAAATAAATTTTAAAAATTTCAAAAACATTTAAGAAAATTTTTTAAAATTTATCGAACAATGCAACCAAATGAAATTGAGAAAAATCGTAGTCAACGTATGCGGAAAGTCGTAAATTTGTACAAATTAGTTCGGCATTTATCGCCTGAATTGAATTGTACCCAAGCAATGCAAACAATAAAATCTACCTTTGAGATACTCGAAATCCGAACTCTACGATTTTACGATTTTACGATTATACGAATTTATGAATTTATGAATTTATGAATTTACTAGCAAAATTTTATTTAATTTTACGACTTTTGTTTTTATTTTTTTTAATTGTGTTGTGATTTTGTGTCTAAACGAAAGCGAAAGTTCACATTCAAACTAAAAGGCATGTAAACTATATATCGACCACATTGTTATTGTTTAGATACAAGCGCATGTGTATCTGAATATGTATCTGAATCTACTCGTACATGCAAGCAAGTATTGTTATCGCTGCGGTGGCAATTGCTGGCAATTTAATTTAATAAATTGTTCGGTAGTGAACAACGATCTTTCAATTTATTTTGTTTTTTTTTGTTTTTAAATTTTTTCTGACTGATTTCATTATTCAATTTTTGGTTATTTATGAAGTTTTATGAAGTTTTATGAAGTTTTCAAAAATTTTTATGATGGCGGTAGCGGTTTATGTGTCACTCACTCACTTTTGTTCGATTTTGATATTTTTTGATTGATTTTTGATGGATTTTTGATGGACCATTTTTTTGATCTTAACCAAAGTTAACCAAATTCTGTGGTAAAATTTTTGAAATTCAATCGTTTCTAACAAATGCTAGGAAATAAAATATGACATATTTTGTGGTATAACAAAAGCCTTTTAAGCTACAAAATTTTTAAAATTTTTCATAAAAAATATATTAGAGTTTTCAAACCTTCACCCAAAGTTTTGTAGGTTCAATGCATAAGAAAAACTCATTCGTTAATTACATTGTGAACTGTTTTTGAAAGAATAAATAATAAATATTCAAATATATAATAAAGCTTATGGGGTATTATAATAATTATTAAGATTTGATTGTAAATATGAACAAATTAATTTTAATACTGAATTAATAAAAGATTTAATTATAAAATTGTATTTCGTATTATATGTGTATATAGAGATGTTATGTTATTGACAACCCGTCTTTTACAAGACGGTCTTCCTAAACCCTTTGAAAGCGAGTTTGTTATGTTACCACAAAAAAGCTTGAATGCACGCTGCCTGAGAAAATATTGTATACGATGTAATAAGAATATCTTATTCAAGGATGAACTTACTTGATCGACCGAGAAATCACAGTACTGTTTGTATAACAACAGCAATGTCTTCAATGAATATAGATGATATATATCAATGATATAGATATTTAAGGAACGAAGAGCTTAGAGTAGACTAATAAGCTTGCGATTGATAGGTAGTGACTGCATAGATCAGCAACATTGGGATATGCAATAAAATGTTGCATAGATTATTGAGAAAATAAGAACCTAGAGCGAATCATATTTCAATGAATGCAGAGCGAGTAGAGGACAGATAAATACTTTCTTCTTTTCTTTTAATTCAGAATTTTAACAGTAGTTCTATCCGATCAGCATACCTGGTTATTAGACTTGTGTCCCGTAGTGTCCTCTAAGTACAGCAACTACTGTATTGTTTAT